AAAATAAAATTTTAAATTTAATTAAAAGTTATATATGAATTAAAGTAAAATCCCTAGCATCCGCTCCGTATGTTGTGGTCTGAATTCTCAACGTTGCATCCGAGTCCGTATGACGGTATGCTATGGCTGTTTGGATTCTCAACATTCTTAAATAATCCTTACTAGCATTCGCGTCGTATGCTGCCAAGTTCCCGCCTTCCCAATCGGTTTCCTCTCACTAATCGGTTTACTCTCAAAACTGTTTAAATTCTTGAACGTTTTCCTTAATTGGGTACGGCTTTCATCGCACGACACCCAACTTGGGGTCATCATTAATATTGTGTAAACTGATTTTAGGTCTCGATTTTTAGGAACCCTATACACAATGCTCAGTCTTTATGTGTTGCTGTCCGTAATTCGAATTTGATAACTCCCCCCATGACTTAATGCATTGTTTTTGCCCTGAATTCTATACTAGGGAGGTGGTAAACGTCCATCTTCTCCATTGTTCTTTTGTCTGGATATATAATGTGAAAAGCTATGTGTGGGGGCATCAGCCTCTCCTTATTATTCTTGTTTCACATACCACTGTTGTTGAAATGTGTCCTAATCTCAAAAATTTACAATTGGTGATGTGTTGCATATATGCATCTGTAAAGAATTTTTGTGAGTGTTATCAATTTAGAAGTGTGATTGAATGGACACTAGATAGTAGGATCAAACCAAAACTTAAAACAATTGGATTTGAATTTGTCTCATATATACTGGGAGCAATAGCTAACTATAATCTCTCATTTCCACTCTGCGAGCTTTATGATAACCAAAAATATTGTTTTGTGTTCCTCAATGATTTGAAGCTTCATTTTGGCCTCTCTCATGTTTTGTATATTCTAGGCTTACCCATAAGCTTGTAACAAGGGTGGAAAGTTATAGCATGAGTGTTAAAGTTTACATTTTTTTTAAAAAAATTCAACAACTTTTGTTAAGTGTAAACACAATGTTTTTGAGGAGGATTTTTGCCTATGCCTTTTAATTGCAACAAATTTCACAACGTGTAAGACATAGCCGAAAATGCTCAATTCCGAAAATTTTCAAAGTGCAAAAATTATACAAAAGTCTGACTACAAAGACAAATGTGAAAAAATTATTCCCAAGATTTTCAAAGTGCAAACATTTTTCACAAAGTCTGACTAGTAAGATATGCTTGTAAATGTTTACAAAGTTTGACTAGTAAGATATGTGCATGAAATTATCTCTTATAATATGAGAAATATTATTCTCTTTAAAAATTATTCAAGTCCAAATAAAAGTAACATATATTATAATATTTAATTTAAAGAATTAATTTATAAATATAGTTGTGTAACAAAATAAAGGGAAAAATATTTGTCCTTTTAAAGGATCTAAACTTATGTCATTTTATATCCTAACCGTTGATTTTAGTCGATCAACGGTTAGGATTTATTGGGTCAAATTTATTAATTAATTAGTAATTCACAATAAAACCCAATAAATCCTAACCGTTGATCGACGAAAATCGACGGTTAGGATATAAAATGATATAAGGTTAGATCCTTTAAAAGGACAAATGTTTTTCTCCAAAATAAAATAAAAATATATTTTTCATTTTGAATGTGTGCAATAAAAGATTTGTCCAAATTTTTATTCATGTTTTATTCTAAGTAGGTGAAATCATTATATAAATTTTAAATATTATTGACGTTCCAAATAGATCTTAATTCAATTCCTACCAAATATATTTGAAAATGGATAAAAGTTTTTAAATGTGACTAAACCTAGACTCATGGGGATACCTAGGAGTAGGAGTGAAACTGGATCGGACTTGCCTATAAGGATCTGCATACTAGCCCGCCATTGGTCTGGTTTGACCCGGTCATTTTGCTTGAAAGGCCAGTCTTGGACTGATTTAAAAGCTTAATTAAGTATTGGGCCAAAATATTAATTTAATATACCTGACCCATGAGACTCTGGACCCAATTATTTTAGCTCATCCAAAATAGACTCCCGTGCAGCCAATAAAGAAGACACTGCATCCACCTTTAAGAAGACACTTCTCCAAATTGGGGGCTTCATGCCCTAGACTTTGTCCTTCTGTGTAGTTTTTTCTTCTGCTTTTAATTCCATCCATATTCAAAAAAAAAATGAAATTACAAGAGCCATGGAATTGGCCAAGGATGTAGAAACTTAACTCCAAGTCCCACCAATGGAGGTCACAAATAGTTTTCGTGGAAATGGATCACGGCTATGGGGAACCACTTTATGATCAGTGAGAGTGGGCTATCCACATTAAAATTCATCCTCTAACACATTGGAGAAGGGGAATCGGCAGCGGGCACGTAATATATTGCAGAGAATGCAAGAAAGTGAGAGAAAGAGTTGAGAGAAAAGGAATTGCAGAGAAATCATTTTATTAATGAATCTGAGAGAATGAGTAATACTCCGTGTAAACGAAGACTGGCTCATTGATAAGGCAGCAATCTAACTGATTAAGTAACAGAATGAGAATTGAACTAACTGACTAGTGAAGGGAAATAATCTGCTATGATAGCAGTAGCAAGAGTAATATACTACAACACAGTAAATAATGATTCATACTAACTAAGCTACGCTAATAGGCATAAACTTGGGCATTTCGAGACAAAGCTCGGCCCAGCTCAGCCCCTACTTTGAAGCTTATTTTCATTTTCAATATGTTACTTATGATTTTTTGTTGAAATTTGTCCTTGATAGCTTCATGCTAATCTATAGAATCAATTTGTCAAAAGTATTGACTTCGTTTATTCAGTTGTAAATTATGCATGTCTTGTAAATAAAAGTTTTCTCCAATTTGTTTAGTTTTATTTGCGTTCAGCTGCATTTGTGATATTAATAAAGGTAATTTCCATTTTTTTTCAGAATTGCAGAACCCCTTTATGCTCATCAATGACAAGAAATTTTCGAGCAAGAGGTAAGTCTGCACCCTCTTTCAATATTATTACTTTCGGCTTGTTGCGGTTTGGTGGGTATCTAATGAAACCCCAAACAATTAACAACAATTGAACAAGAAAAACACATCTATTACTCAATAATACTTTGGAAATACATGATGTGACAGTATCCAGTGTCCACAATAACAAAGGAGAAACAGAACATTAACAAACAACATATTCCTCCTAACAGACTCCACTAAAGGAAACGAAAGAAAATGGCAACGCAAAAAGATAAACAAAGAACAGAAAGACATTAATACAAAGATAAACCAAAGGTCTCAACTCACTCTCAAAACCAAAGTCCTAGGCCTCAGGAGATCCTTCTCCCAATTCCCATTTCACTGAATACATGCATATCCACTCTACCACACTGCCTATCTTTTATCCTATGAATATTCTAGAACAGTTTCCATAACTAATTAATTCACTCACTTTTATGGCCCATGGCCCATCAGAATCTAATAGATATCCGAAATCCGAAATAAGAAATAGAAGAGTTCATGACCCCTGTATTATTATTAGTCCTACACTCCTCTACCCAATATAGTAACTACTCATAACTTTCCTAATAACTATCTTTCCAATGCAGTTTCTTCTTCACAACTGTACTCCTTCTGCAACTACATTTTGTTTAGGCTTCCTTATATATTATTTCTTTATTAGGGGCTTATCAAAACAAAATGTAATCACTGTTAAGTATCAAAAATTGAATTCTCATGAAAACAAAAAGAACTTGCATAACCAGATCAAAGAACAAAGAAACTAGTTCTTGGTGCTAAATTTCAAAAAGATCAGAGAAAATATAAAAATAAAAAAGACCAAAATTGAGTAATTTTTGTTTAGATACCTGCCACAAAAAGGAAAAAAAGAAGAAGAAAGTCTTACATAATCAAAGCTAATAAAAAGTAAGGTTAACATATCCAAAAACAATGAAAAAAAGTAAACCATCAAAATCACATCTTAACTTATAATGTGGCTAATCACTCTAAAAAACCAAAAACCACTACCCGTTAAATCCGACTAGCAGTGTGGGGAGGAAGCAATCTGGTTCGCGCCCTTTTAGCGAATCACTATGTAACAATGAATTATTTTAGTGACCATTCATAAGGAAAAATAGAAAAAAATAGTTTGCGTAAGATTCTATTATTCTTGCATATCTACTATTGCTTCTAGGCAAAAAAATTAAAATAATGCATTTAAATTAAATAATTACGTATTTAATGCTGTTTTGTAAAAAATTACACATTTGTTGCACAATGAGACGCCCCCTTTGGGCGTCACACGTGACGCCCAAGTGAGGCGTCTCTCCCTCGGGGAAGACGCCCCATTGGGGCGTCACATTGCAAGCTATATATACCCCACTTTCCTTTTTTCACTCCTTACTCATTCACCTCTCTAACCTCTCTCTAACCGTGGTTCGTAGCGAAGCTCTGCCAACGTAGGTAAGGTCATAATACCTCATATGTATACATTTAAATTACAGTGCTAGTTAGTAATACATGTTAGGATTGATTGTATATTAGAGACTTGGAACATTAGGATAGTCACTTAGAAATTTTGTGGCATGCTATGAATGTTGTAATGATATAGTAATTTTATTATTACGTAGTTATTATTATTAATTTTTAATTATGCATTAGGGTTTAGCATATTAATTAGTGATTTATAAATAGTGTTTGGGACTTCGTAAATTTCGTATGTATGATGTTATTAATGCGGGAGTGCATAACTTTGTAGTTAGTTAGGTGTGATGATTAGTACGTATTGGACAAGTTGGTAGTGACCTAGGGTTAAGTATTCAGTTAGTATTATATTATTTTTGTCCGATGTATTATTATTATTTAATTGTAAATAAATAATTGTTCTACGTTTTGGCGGGACTTCATAAATTTCGATTCTAGTTAAATAAATGACGCATATGCTTAATTTTTGTGATAATCAATTATGTCACTGCTTAATTAAATTGTAAATAAAAAGGGGCATTACATGTGATTAATTTAAATGTTGTTTTATATTATATAGTTGAGGATAATGGATGAGTCATCATCTTCATCGGATTCTGCATCGGATGTAGAGCCCACCAATCCCAGCATGTGGATCATACCTGGGCAGTACAAATGGGAGGTCCTTCGTAAAAGGACGCAGAAAGCTCATATTTCGCAGCGGGTGTGGAATACAGAGCATTTAAGGAAAATTAAGACCATGTGTGGAAAGCCACAAGGGGGGCCACCTACCGGTGCTATTCCGCAGGTTGTCGAAGAGTACCTCAGACAGGCGAGATTCATACATGTTGCCAGGATGCAACATATCCAAGTATGTTATTTACGTCGTTTTGTATTTATGTAATTATTCAATAAAATTCGTTAACACGTGATAACTGCGTAATTTATCACAGATCGATACATTTTTAATTAGTGCTCTGGTCGAGAGGTGGAGACCAGAGACACATACCTTTCACATGACCCAAGGTGAGATGATGATCACCTTACAAGATGTGGCAGGCATATTGGGCTTGCCGACTGACGGCACTGTCGTCACCGGATCGACCTCCGAGGATTGGCACGCAGCTTGTGCTGCTGTTTTTGGACATGTTCCAGAGGCCGGTGAGTTCCATCGTTCCAGCGACCTCCGCATCTCATTCTTGGATCAGCATTATACTTGGTGGACTGATCAGGAGGGGAATCACGATGCCGAGATCTACTTCACAAAAGCCCACATTGCCCGAATGTTGGGGACTTGGTTGCTAGCGGACAAGTCTAGAGGTAGCAATTTTGGTTGCCGGCTTTTCCCGTTGCTAGGTGGGGATTTGAGGACATTGGTCGATTCAGCTGGGGATCTGCGGTTTTGACACACTTGTTCATGAATTTGTGTGAATTGACAGATGCCCGTCGAACTGACATGGGTGGTTGCCATATTCTCCTTCAAATTTGGGCATGGATACAATTCCCACCCATTGCTCTACCCCTTCCTCCTCATCCAGAGCCGGGCACACATTATGGTTGCCGGTATGATTTATTTACTTCATTTGATTTCGATAATGTATGGTTGATAATGAATATACTAAATGTTCGCTTCTTGATTATGATTGATAATGAATGTTTCTGATGATAGGTTTAATACTGTAGAAAAGTTTAAACCTCATGAGGTCACCCATTATCGGGCAACATTGGACACACTGTGTAGAGATGAGGTTAGGTGTTGGATACTTACGATGTTGTTTTTCTCTATGGGTTTTTTGTTTTGTTTTTGTAACTCTATATATTGTTTAACATTTTGTTTGTAGGTGGTGTGGCAGCCATATATTGAATATGAGTGGCTTGACGTGACTCTAGAGCAGCAGTACCTGTGGCTTGCTGCCAAACCTATTATCTACTTCCACACAGTAGAGGCATGTCAACCGGATAGGTGCATGCGACAGTTCGATCTTGATCAACCCATCCCGGATAAATCTAGGAAGTTGAGAGGGATACATGATCATACTCTACGGGGGAAGGTTGAAGAGAACTGGAGACGTAAGCTGAGGCCTCACATTGATCGATGGAATACCAAGGTTCAGCATATTGTACTGCCACCTCCATTATATGGTTTGATGTCACCTAATCATGCGTAGATGGAGTGGTACAGAGAGAGGGGAAATCGCTACATATCTCGGAGGGCAGCAAAGATAGGCCGCATGGTGAGTTTATGACAAATTCTATCATTTATACATATTTTACATTTGTTTCACATTTCTAACATGTTTTCGTAATATACAGATTGACAGTCTTGAAATGCTTTATCATGCAACAACGGCGGAGGAGTTTCCTCGTTTTGGCCTAGAGTATATCCACGAGGAGATTGGCCGGATTATTGGAATGTATCGTGGGAGTTCACGAGTTGATGAGCCTGGACCTGAGGCACCCCTCGTGCAGACACAGCCTGATCCTCAGTTGATCGTGGATGTTCCTCGTAATAGACGAGAGGGACGCAGATTAGGACGTAGACCTGAGAGTTGCTGCTGAGCCTGTCCCGATTATAGCACCGAGACCAGTGGTCGAGACTCAGGGATGGTTCAGACCTCCAGTCATTGGTCCTACTTACGGGTCATAGTCGATTTATCATCACGGATCGCAGTATGCGGCAGGTCCTAGTCAGGCGGCGTCTGAGCACCCTTACATGAGCGGACATGAGGCAGTTTTCCAGGCTAGTTTGATGGCTATGGCAGGAGCGGATCCAGCATCCTCGCAGCCTGATTTCCAGCCCTGTTCATAGGGACTTGATGCCGATTACCCCTTTTGGTCTGCAGAGGACACGATTGAGTTATATCGCTCTATAGGCCTTGTTACAGAGAGCCATGACAGTGGGGATACTCTAGCCACAGATTCTCACAGTCAGGGACACACCCCTTTTGAGGTGCCAGGCAGTAGTGCAGGACCATCAGATGATTTCATCCGTGCGGCGATGGATGACTTCCACACTTAACCACCACAGGCACAGGCACAGGTGCATCAAGGAGACCCAATCTGGGACAGACGTATACTGCCAGATAGGGATGCACGACATAGGCCATGGCCACTGTGGTCGTAGTTTCATTGCCATTTGGAGTATTCACTATGTTGTGGACTGTTTCATATTGTTATTATTTTGTTATTTTGTATTAGTTATGACTGTAGCATGTTGTTATTTTGTGGACGCTACATTATTATATTATTTGGACTATTCACTATGCTTTATTATTTATGTTTTGTTTGTCGTCCTTTGTGCATTTATGTTACGGTAACCAATTGCATCAGTTAGTTAATAATACAAGAATAAAAACATACATAAACGCAAAGTAAAAAGTCCAACATAACGGACATTACAATTCAAGCAATATCATAACCAACAACAAAATAATGACATAATATGTATCTCAGTCGTTTCTCCCACGACTTGGACATCCCCGACGATTATGGTCGTGTTCCTTGCTAAGTCCACACCTGATACGGCTCTGGCTTGTCTCAACTTTATCCATCTCGTTGCAGATGCGAGTTGACTTTGGACGACCTTTTGCACGCAATATAGTAGAATCAGGAATAATCTTTGGACCACTAATTTCAGGTATTGCTTCCTCGTTTCCGATTGGCTCCTACGAAAAAGAATAAGCCTCAACCAAGTTAGTTATCAAGAAGACGTCGTCAACGTAAGTGAACGCACTCTGCCTAACACTTAACGCAGCAGCAACGGCGTGACTACACGGATACTTAAAGGCCTTAAACTTTCCACACTGACAGTATCTCTGTGGGAGGTTGACAGAATATGAACGCTCCCAACTTGCGTCAACCTCGAAGACAGTATGTTCAACATTGTATGCACGAACGTGGTGGCCTGTTGCATCTACCTGGTTCTTCTTGACCAATTCAACAACATTTTTGGAGTGACGATGAGCTGATTGAAGTCGTGCAACAGCATTTGTTCTTCTCTCAACAAAATATGCAACCAATATGTTATATGTATGCTTAACCAATGCTGTTATAGGCATATTTATGGCCCCCTTCAAAACCCTATAGATAGATTCACCCAAATTTATTGTCATATGACCGTACCTCCGCCCTTCAATATCGTAGGCTCGCGACCACTTTTCCTTAGGAATCGCATCAATCCACTCAGCAATTTGAGGACTACTTTCACGGAAACTCGCAAGATTCCTTTCAACGGAATTTAGAAAGTTTCGACGGAATTTAGATTCTATCAAGAATTTTGACTGAAATATTTTGTCCCTAAAAAATTTATGTCAGTGATTATGACAAAATCTTGTTCCGTCTCTAATTTCATCGGAAAAAAAATTTCGTCTCTATTTTCTACGTAATATGATTTTTGTCAAATTTTCGACGAAATATTTTTCTTCGATAAATTCTATTAGTATTTGAGACTTTCTAATAATGTCACATTTAAAAATGATTCATATTTATGTAATTTTCACATTTTAATGCTAAGGATAAAAGATAATACTTATTTGTTCTTTAATTGTAAAATAGTTTGGTTATGGATAACCATGGATAACCAATTATTTTTATGATTTGGTAAATAACCAGTTTATAAAATAAAATGCAGTTTCATATGAAACCGGTTTTTAAAATGTGGAGCAGTTTGGTTATGGATCGGTTTGGTTCTTTTGGACATTTTGCACATCCCTACCCAGTAGTATGGTAATTCGTAAGATAAAGTAAATTACTTTTTCTGGATTCTTGATAAATATCATGGGATTTATTTTAATCCTAAAAAAAAATCGATTCATGATTCTTTTGAAATTTAAAATAGATCAATATATTAATTATTTTGAGAAATTAATGTGAGTTTTCTTTGAATTTTAGAAGGATTACGATTTCGACTAACTAAGTTTATTTTGAATTTTAGAAGGACCACAAGTCGATTTCTTTTCTCTAAAGAATTAAAATGAGCCCCGTGACTTTTGTTGAGAACCAAAAAAAAAAAAAAAATTACTCATAAAATAAAACCTCTTTCAAGTTCCATTAAAAAAGGAGGGAGATCAAGCAACAATTTGAGTATTGCTCTTAATAAGATGACTTGTTGTCTTAATGAAAATTTAAATGGATATTGGTCTATACGTACTCAAACAAATTTGAATGAAAACCTAAATTATTACGATTTAATAGATGATATTGGAGTTCTAGCCTTCTAGGGGACCTTAATAATGACACATAATGCAAGAAATCTATATTAGAGTTGAAAGAAAATGAGGAACAATACACGCTAGGACAAACGACTGTCTGGTCGTGGGCCAACCATACTGTTTACGTTTCGTGTCTCTTGATTTCCTTGTGTTTATTTTGTACATATATTTTGGGAGCTATTGTTTCAGGGACTATGTCAAAACTCAAAAGTATATTAAATTGTGAGTATTTTGTTTTGTTTTGTGAATAATTGGGGTCAAATAAACCTAAAGGAAAGAAGATTACATAGTAACTGCTTAGGGAGCATGGAGACACAAAGAAGCTGTCTAATTGGTAAAAGGTGTAAAAAATCAATTCAATTCAAAATTTTAGGTTGTTAGATGAGGTTATTTTAATGAGTTTTTATATATTTCTAACACATTCTCTCACACGAGATTATACTGAACTTAAAGGGTGGACAAAATACATGTATATGCATCTGTGCTAAGAAATTTCACAATACTTAATTAATTATTAATTAAAAGGGAAGCGGTGAATATCGAACTCGTAAGGCTGTAACATTGAGACTCTAATAATATGTAAAGAACTAATTCAACTTAAAAATTTAAATTGTTATATAAAATTATATTAATAATTTTTATATATCAGGATCTTCCAATAGCAACGGCCAGGCACGAGCAGAGCTCACGACTTCAGTTTGCTGTGAAAGTTACATAAAATTGCATGTGAGCTTGATTTCCTAAAAGAAAAAAGAAAAGAAAAAAGAGAGCATTGCATTAGAGCTCTTTCAGGCTTCGAAGTCAAACATATTCCGTGACTCTCTTGCTGATCACATCTAAGATTTAAAGTTTGTAAAGTTATTTTTATATAGCTTTATCTCGGGCTTTTTAACCCTTATAACTTTTTATTAATAATTAATTATTAAATTGACTTTCATTATAAACTATTTCAAAAATTTAACCCCTTCAAAAAATATAACACAAATCTGCCCCTATTTGACCGTTGACCACCAAGTCTACCTGGGTATATTTTGAAATTTTTTGCCCACCCGGATAAGAAGGGTGTACCCGGATATTGTTCTTAGCACTTGAGAAATTACTTAAATTATTTACCCGAGTACAGAAGGGTGCACCCGGATAAATTCCCTGGGACTGATTTGATTTGCACGCTGACCACAAATTGAAATGGTTAGTAACTTATCTGCTTGTTCAACTTCTGACAATCACGTGGTTGCGGTTAAAGATATATATTGGCGCTATCTTTGATTTCTTTGTGGACACAATCGCCACAGGGCCACCATTGAGGCATAGAATCTTCATGAAAGTCCAAGGGCTTGCCACTATGCTTTGAACAAATGTGTATATTGGTATTTCAATCTTTACACGAATCTTGGATCAACAGTTTGCATGTGATTATTTCATTGGGCTTACATATTGAAGGGTTCGTTGATTTGCTCAGCTTTCCTTCTTGCACTTTGCATCATTGTATTTGGATTTGGCAGCAACGAATGTGACAACTGTTGGAATTAATGAATGAAATTAATGAATAAATTAATATACAATGATCCATTGGTTATGAATAAGAAGTGGGTTAATAAAGAAAAGAGAAAAAGAGAAGATGAAGAGGTGTGTGGGTTTCAACAAGTCCCACATTGGACAATTAGTAGGAAATGGGAGAGTATATAAGCTCCCACTTCCCTCTCTTAGATTTGCCCTTGGGTCACTACATGTTTTATGTAGGGGGGAGAGCTAGGTGAGCATTGGTTCGTCGCCGCCGTCCGTCCGTCCGGGCTCGGCTCGGATCGGATCGGTTCGGTTCGGTTCGGTTCGTGTAATAAAAAATAATTTTTTAATATTTTGTCCAAAAAATTTACTTTCCCTTCGTGAACCAGTCACCGGTTGTGTCTGCTCGCTGAACCGGTCACCGGTCGTATCTGTTCGTCGGAACAGTCACCGGT